ACTGTTATTTATTCAAATGACATTCAGCTTGTTGCTTGATAGCATGTCCTATAATACAGAGAAGTTTGATTGAGGATATAAACTGCAGTTGCGGCAGCGGAATTTTTATTTGTCACATAAAGATTAAGGGCAGAAATCATATATTTTGCTTTATGAACCCAAAACAAATCGTTTGAATGAAAATGTCGCTGCCACACGTTTTAGGTAAGCCACCCCAATTTTGTTTTATTCCCTTCATAATAAAGTTTTCTATCTTATTTGTACACCATACCTATACCATGCTTAGGAATGCAAAAAAAAGACGAAACTGTGCCGTCAGTGACTGTGATTATAGAGCTCCAGAAGCTGTATCAGTTGCACGATAGTTCGTTCAACATTCAACTCCCCAAAATCATTGCACATCTATGGCACTTTCACGGAGCGCTTTTGCTGAAGACACAGACATAAAAAAAACTTTTTTTAAAGATTTTTCTGCATTTTTATTGAAATATTTATATTAATCTTTCAATAAAGTCGGCATTTCGCATGAGCATGTTCTAGCTCGCCGCAGTCGCAACCCCATGCTAGCCCAGCTGTAGTTTTTTTGCAAACCATTCTCCCTACCCATATAATGTTTGTACAGGATTTGTGTAAATGTGAAACCTGTTTACAAATAGGTGTCCGTTTGAGTAAACCCATACAAAGAGTTGCATCAGAATGTGTGTATGGGCCAACCATTTTCATCAGTAAATTTGTATCAGCAACTCCTAATAACGTGTGCACAAAGAATGAGGTCTAAATGTTGGTGAAAAGGGCTTGAAAACGTAATCTAAAAACATTACTCCAAAGCAGGCGCTTGGTGTTAGAGATGTACCGAATAATTACACCACCTAAATCCTTAATATAAACCGTCCTCTGTGTTGATGCATCCTTATCTTGTGCCAGCAGAGCCAGCTAGGTCTTTCATGAAATGCTCTTTAACAGGCTGCACGACTTTAAAAAATACAGAACCCCAAGTGTTTTCCAACGTTACGAATGTTGATCACATTTGAACTGTTTGCTAAGGCCGGCCTAGTGATCGACAATCGGGAACTCGGTCACATTAGTCAACTTAACAAATTTAAAGTATAAGTAGCAGCACTGAAAAAGTTCTACGATCATTTGGATTGAGGTTACCCAGCAAAACTGTCAGATTAGTCAATTTAACAAAAGTATAGACAGCACCACTAAAAAAACTTTCACATTTATTTTGATTAAGGTTGCCCCACAAAAGCGTTTAAAATATGCAGTCAGCATATGAACAGTCCTTTCTACAGCCTTAAGGCTCTACTACTGGAGAAAATCCAACTGCTGTGATCTCCATCTCCAACATGATGTGCGTAAGCTCAAGCATCGATTCCACAGCTCATAAAAGTTCTTCAAATTTAAAACTTCCATCAGGGGACCTAAATAGCAAGTATCAAAAGGCGTTTATAAAGTCACTGCAAGGCCGAAACATAAATACTCGCACAGATTTTACATTGTTTTGTTACGCATGACAGGTTGTCGTGCATCGGCTTTTCCATGCATCGTTTTCCCGATTCACAAAAAACCGTCATGCATCGGCTTCCGAAACGCTTCGTATGTCAATTAGAAGTGTTTATAAACCAGAATAAAAAAAATTTCACCGAGATACCTACACTAGAACTTTATCAAATATCAATAACAATAGAGCTCACGTCTGGAGCGCCGCATCACACTTGCCGATCGTTGGCGTACTCGTAAACAATGTGCATGCTGCTGCAGCCCCGAGTTTCTCGAAGTGCACACCATGTGCACTTGGAGAAGCGAAACTATCACTGCGGCAGGAATACAAACTGTACTTCGGGGATAGGCGAAATAGTGTGCGACACTTTCAACAGGCGGCACCACCAGAGTTAACGCTCGCGTGAAAACTCGAATGCTTCGCTGCCCTCGCCTAAAAAGAAAATGGTATTGGACATTTTTTTTTTACTTCCTTTCTTATTTTTGGGGAGAGGGCTTTTCTGTGTCTCTTTTTTTCTCTTTCCGGTCTTCCTTTTCTTTTTCTTTTTTTGTCCCGGACGTTTTTGAGTGTCGCCGACACTATGAGAGCTTGGAGCCTCTTCGAACGACCTCCCCCTCCGTTTTAGGCTGGTTCAGGCGTATGTGTTTTCAACTGCACTAGACGGCTCCTTGTGTCCCACTATGAAGCGTTGCGCGGATCTCGGTAGTCATATCAATGACCTCATTGTAAACGCTCATAAGCGGTCACTACGCAGTCGGTTATGCGCAAACGGAACTGTCTGAACCAGAGTGTCGAGCCAAAAATTTTATCGGTTCGGTTCGGGCTCACGCCTTTCGGTCCAGTTCCCGTTAATCTCTGGGAACATAAATAAAAACCGGTTTGAACCGGTTTGAACAGCTAATTTGGGAATACATTTTCCGCGTTATTTTGGCAATAAGTACTATTTCCGCCGTCAAACGAGTAACAATTTTTTTTTTCAGAGGTACAATCCACCTTTATTTCCAGGCACCGAAAATTAGAACTAGCGTTATTTAATTTTGACATAAAAGTAAAAGAAAATCGTTAACAGGCAAAACGTCGTGTTCATACGACCAAACATCTATTTGTTCACCTGAGTCACATATATTTTAACCTAATGGAAAGGTAGTCACAAACTTTGGTAGCTCACCTAAAATACCCGTGATTGATACAACTTTCCATCGCAGTATTAAAAACTGAACCGTAGTTGTGCTCTTGAACTAAGGAATCGGAGTGCATACAAAAGGGAATGGGTATCTCGTTGTCATATATATAAATAATCATAGTTTACGAAATACGTTTTATAATAAACAGGGTCTGGCTTTAAGGACAAACATATTTAACACGCCTTTCAAAATTCGAATTTCAAAAGAAAATGCCTGAATTAGGGCACGCCTGCATAGCTTTGCCAAACGTTTTACGTCATTTTTTTCCCCCTTTAGAGCTCATTTTTGAGGTAGTGACGTATTAAAAATAAAGCAAAATCGGAGGTCGTGCATTTTTCACGTCCTCTCCTATACCAGCCTGTTTGTTGTCTGCACACTGGTTTATGAGCTCGCTCCCGGGTGGCTTGCTGCACGCAAAGAACGCTTAAAAGAATAAGAGAGGCTGTCAATGAGCAAGATAATCGCGATAATTAGTACTTTTAACAAAATATATGAACGATGACCACCTGGGAGCAAGCTCATAAACTAGTGTGCAGACGACCAACATCCGGCAGTAGGGTATAGGAAATGTACGACCACCGTTTTTGCTCTATTTTTAATATTTTACTACCTCTGACTTTAGCTCTGAAGAAATAAAGAAAAAAAAATAAAATTTTTCGCGAAACTACGTCGCCTATCCAATTTCAAGATGTCCGTTTTGAATTCGAATTTCGCAAGGCGTGCCAAATCCGTTAGTCGTTACGACCACACCCTGTATTTGATGACAACGCAACTGAGCTAAAAGCAGTTCAAATATTTATGACAAACACATGTATTCGTAGTCACATTGGGCCAGTGACACACCTACACTGAGCAGCAATCAACACGCTTGTCTTCCTGACCAACAGTTTTACACTCAGCACAGTGATGCAGGCAAAGAATAATAAAGAAAGGAGTGATCAAAATAGCTCACTCTCACTACCTATAATTTAAACGCACATTTGTGCTGAGATCGAATCTGGCCTAAAATAGCGCATATCCGAGTGAACATTTTCCTTTACAGGATAGATTGGCATAGCATGGCTGTGGAGGTTTGTTCTTGACAAGCTGCCGGTCAATTTAATTTGAAAATAATCATCAGCCTTGCTAGTTGATATTTCATTTTATAATGAAGAGAGAAAAAAGACACATTCCAAAATTTTGATCACCGTTTTATATAACTAACAGTAAGCCGAATAGCAATGACTGTCGGAATAAACAATCAACGCCCGAATATAAAAGTCTGACAGAAAACATAGTGGCATGCATAAAAGGGGTGATCGTCGAGTGCTTTATTAAAGCCATTGAATATGAAAAATCAGAGGGCAGTGTGTTTCAATAGACCTTTTGCCGAATTATTCAATCATCAGAGAGAATGCCGGGAAAGTAGGTACAGGCGCTGCGCGTGCTGGCGTCTGCAACCAGAACTGTTTAAAAGCAAAAATCTGAAACAAATAGCACGAACGCTTTATTTTAGTCAATACTTATATTACTTTGTAAAGGGAAAGCGAGCGCGTGTACCTACGTTCCCAGCATTCTGTATGATGCTAGGGTAATTTAGATAAAGGTCTATTAGATATGTAGTGCGTGGAAAAAATAAAAAAACCTAAAAAATGTTAGTTCGAGCAAATATTGGCTGAGGAGAAAATTCATAATAGTTCCTAGAACAAAAGAGTATTTCACGCTCTACTCGACATTGCATCTACTTAATTGGTCACTTTCGCGACAGTGTGTGTGCGTAATCTTCATAGTTCCATCACGCGTCCCTGTGTACTTCGTTTTTGTTCAGCCCAAAACAAACAAAAAACTGCTGCTTATGACATAAAAGAGACATTACCAAATTTCTATGTGTTTGAAAAGTTAAAGATGTCCCAGGAACACATAGTTATTTAAAGCTCTCCCAAATCACTTTGGGCCTTTGAGCAAAGAAAAAAAAAACGCCGGAAAAGATTTCAAGAGAATTTTTCAGATAATTCGCCACGGTCGATCACCCTCGGGTTATTTTCAACATGATCAACATCCACCAGCTCGCCTGTACATTCAACGCTTTTGCGTAAAGCTTGAGAAGTTGTTCATGTATGATAGCTCAGAACAATTTGGCATATCTTCATATGTGCGTCCACCGCGAAATCGTATAGCATCGATTGTTTGGCACACGTGACGGAAGAAATTAAAGTTCTTCCAAATTCGTCACGCGTCACAAGCTCTGTAATATAAATTAAGACATATAACATATTAAAATTACCCAAGGCTGTGGTAAAAGATGGGAAACTTTCTGGAAGAAAAATGACACAGGAAGGACGTCTCAAAGTTGAATGTAGTTTCCCATCTTTTACCACAGTCTCGGGTTATTTTCCATTCTCAGGCTTCTTGTTTTTGGGGCCTTTCCTACACAGATTACCAATAATAAAGCCAATACCTTTGCAGAAGACACCGAGAACGCCTGTATCGACTCGACGCGTAAACAGGATGTGATGCCTCTAGTGCGTACGTTGGAAAAGCGACACCGACAAACGAAACATAACGTCTAATGTCTCCAGTTTTCCCGCAGGATGGTGCTGCGCCTAACAAAGTCACTTAGGTCGTATATCAGTAAGTGACCGTAAATGGATGTCCAAATCATTGTGGGAGCCGCCCGCTCCACTTCCCTGATTAGGCCCTATGGCCGCGGGAAAAGCACTCCGAGCTGTCCACCTGTCAGCCGGAGCGCCCCGTTTCGTCCCTCGGAGGAGCAGCCATCTTGCCTGCTTACCCTCGCGTCGCATACCTCCCCCCCCCCCCCCCCGTGCCCCCCTCCCCCCCTTGCGGGGACACGTGAAACGTCCCCCTGGCGGTTGGACCTTCTTGGGTCCGAGGCTGAGGCCGCCAGCAGAGAGGAAGAGAGAGGGGGGCCTTGCGCCCCGCTCGAGGGGACTGCTCGCGGGGACATCCAACTGTTCGGACGTGTGGCCCGGCCCTCCCTGACGGCCCACCTCCGAGCCGCTCTCAGGGAGGCACGACAAGGTAAGGTCGGTTCTTTCCTGGTCGCCCTTAGCGTGTTTCTTATCTGTATATGATTAACACGTAAAATAAACATCCGATTATCCCTTGCCTTCGGCGTGTCCGTGTGCTCCCTTTTGAGACTCCCGGCTAACGGTTGCAGCCGACAGTCGAACCCGCCGCAGGGCTCAGCATGATACGCTGTGGAGTGGTAGGTTGAGCGGTCGGCCTCCTTGCCGGACGCCCTCACCCCTTTGAGACCTCCACAATCTACAAAATATAAAATGAGAAAAAAAAATGGCTAAGAGAGTAATTATATTTTTAGACAAAAAAAAAACAAAAAACTCGTGATTTTGATTGACCGTGCATCGAAATGTCCGTGTACCAAAATGTCCGCGCACCAAAAAGTCCCCCATCGAAATGTCCGTGCACCGAAAAGTCCCTGCACCGAAAAGGCCGCATGAAAACGCCTTACATCGAAACGCCCTACACCGAAATGCCCGGATCCCGTGGCGAAAATGCAGACCACAGGAAGCTTTACAACGAAATACGTTTTTAACCCCCCCCCCCCTCTTTTTTTTCTTCTTATTTTATTGCTTCTTCACAGAATACGCTTTAGTCCTGAGGGACTCCCTCCTCCGTTTGGGAAAGGGGTGATAATTCGACGATTATGTTTGTGTCACTCGTTCGCAGTAATTCTCCGTTGATTTTACTTTGCACCCAAAATATAAACAAAATATGGAGGTGGTCGAAGCTTGGGGAAATATTTGAAAATGACGCTGATCTTTCTTCTCAGGTATCCCTCCCATACATAGTTCCAGTTCTGTGCAACGACGAATTAATAAGTCACATTTAGTACTTTCAATTCTTCACGGGGACAACTATCTGAGGCATTTCAACAAGAACGAAAACATGTTTAGGTACCTCAAGGATGCTTACGTGTAAAATAGGTCGTGCAAATATTTTTGTACTTTCAATAAATTCCGCTAAAAACTAATCCCTGACGTTGATAACTTGCAAAAACACTAATACCCATTAGTTTTCTTCTCCGCGCAATGGCAGACACGGAAAAAATAAAAGGAAAGAAACAGCTACCCCCCCCCCCCCTCAACTCGCAATTAGAATAAGACGCCCCGTGAACTGACGCTAATTAGATACATACGTCAGTGTTCAGGATAGTTATGCGCCGGGGGTGGCAAAGCATAGAGCATGGGCTGAGCGTCGGATGTTAGAGTTCGGCTATTCTCATCTTTAACTAAACACGACCCATTACCCAAATGCTTCCAGAGGCTGATTGTCATCAACCCGAGCACTCGACTCCGGCTCATGACAATCGAGCACGTTAGGGTGCAACGCGACCTGCGGTGCGAAGTCCTGATGTCATGTGACGTCACGGTGTCAACAACGCTAATAAATCTAGAGACGTTCTAAATTTAAAACCATTTGACGCAGTGTGTCACGCGACTACGTCACATGACATTACGAGGCCACATGACGTGACATTGCTTCACAGCATATCTTGACGACCCCCCATGCGAAGGCCATAAGAGCGCGCCTCTCTGCTCTAGACCGGCCATAGCCCTTCATGAGTTGGCAAACCAGCACACGTCAAGTGGCATATGGCACTGCGAGCCGATCTGGCACTCGCACAACCGTAAAACGCCGAGATGCCCCACCCCCGAAAGACAGCCCACCCCAATTTTTGCTTGATTACCTATATTTTTTTTAAACACCAAAAGATAGCCCACATGTAGTAATAGTAGAGTGTAGGATCAATGATATAGCCTCGACGCAAATGCAGCTAGTTAGCTATGGCAGGATATAAGCGAACATTGCTGACTGCAAAGTAGTCATCTTTGCTTCGTTGCCCCTCGCCCGGATAAGAAGCTTGGAAGGGACACACGACCTAAAAATAGGATTTTTTTACTTTTCTTGATTGCACACCGAAAGGAAGCCCACTCCATATTTTCACCCACTTTGCTCTTGATTTTAGGTGGGCTATCTCCCGGGATATTACAGTAAGTCCTTTTCCGTAAATTTTATTTTAAACGCCCGCGAGATGATAAGGGGCTACGTGAACGTAATAAACAGTGAACAGTGAGCTATGTCAACAATTGAGACACATTTGGACTTATTATTGCCACCAATCTGACTCATTCATGAAATATTTTCTTCGAAGATGGCCATTAAGTCTAGTTTCTGTTTTGAGGGGGAACTAATCGAAAAATTTGAATAGCCTCTCTGGATTTGGGACACATCAAGACACGACTATCGCGATAGAATAAAGCAGGACAACTCCTGGATTACCATCGGCAACCTCTTACGTATTCATTTCTTAACTTTTGTTTGAGTGAGGTACATATTGTGAGTACGTCAGCTGGATCGCCGCGCGAGCGTAGTTCAGATTTTGACTGTGAATAGGTGACCAGAGATCAACAAGCTAGTTTGTGTGCACCGTTTCTTAAACGCGTGAAAACAGCGCATTAGCGCAATAACACCTGGACATGTGTTTCAATTCAAAGCGCTCTTATCCCTCCCTGTGTCTGCTCCCTCCCCCGTCATCTCACCAGGGTGGAGGAAGCTGTGCTTCGGAGACTGCGGGCTTGGGTGGCCATTACACCGGCTGTAACCTGCACATGGAGCTCTCCACCCGTCACACGACAGGCGACATGCCCCAAGTGTCCCCTAGACGCGACGGAAGCGGATGTGCATCACCTTATATGGACTTGTCCTGGTCTACAGACTGAGCGCACTCGCCTACTTATAGCTGCAGGTCTCCAACACAGTGCACCCACCAGCTACCATAAGTGGCTGCATAACAACCACTATCACAAGACATTGCTTCAATTCATCCATACCACAGGCCTTGTAGCATACATATAAGACATTTATGCCTAAAAGCAACCCCTACATAATAAAAAAAACTACTTTATTACTAACCAACTAGCCCAACTTTCTACTTCATTATTAACTAGCGACCTATTGCGTTGTCATGTGAATTGTCACGTCATTGTTGAATTGCTGTCGCTTGACACCTCCACTGACCAAGTTTTAACACGCACTAACATAAAAAAGCCTATCCTGATAGAATAGTCGTTTTTGAGTTTTCCTGTACATCAAAGTGCTCATCATTATTTCATCAAGCACATAAAGATGCAAAAAAATTTAGTGCATTCTAGGTTAGCCATAGTAGTATTTGTAGACAAGTTCTTCTCTTCTACACGGGAGGGAGCCACCTCACCAAGAGAGAGCACGAGTATCGCGCAAGCGGCTTGGGACCGTTGACCAATGAGAGACACACACACGGCAAGCACTGTTACCTGCCATGTCTAGGCAAGCTCGTCGAACTCGAACTCAGTTCTCGGTCTTCTCAGTTGTATTAACTAATCGTTAATAAACGCTTTCAAAACATGGTGTCAGAAACGGAACACGAAAACGCTCGCACGTGAAGTCAAGACCGATGTGAGTCGCACGGCGCAAGAGTTAAGGCAAGCGAAGACCAGCAGCGCAGAAAATGGCGGAAGACAGCGGCACCGCTACTACGCAGCAGTCGGGCAGGAGTTCGAACGTCCAACTTCCCATGCCGGGAGGGGTCTTCGCAAGTTTGCTGCCTCCTCCGAAGCCACTCGACATGTCCGGAGGCCTGGAGACATCCTGGAGAACATGGTGGGACGAATTTAAGTTGTTCTCAACCGCCACTGCTCTGAAGTCGCAAGACGCCGAAGTACAGGCCGCGACGTTCCTAGTCGTCGTAGGGGAAGACGCCAGGCGAGTCTACAAAACGTTCACGTTCGAAAACCCAGGTGACGAACTGCGCGTTGAGAAGATAGCGGAGCTTTTTGAAAAGCATTGCAAGCCAGCTATCAACGTGAGCTATAGGGACTTTGTATTCGGCACACGGAACCAGCATGACGGCGAACGATTCGATGACTGGCTTACTGAGCTGCGCACGCTGGCGAAGCAGTGCGATTTTGGCGAGCTACACGACCGCATGTTGCGAAGTCGAATGATTCTTGGAATGACCAACAAGCGACTGCAACAACGCCTCATCAACGACGATCCAACTTTGGAACAAGTGATTCAAAAGTGCCGCATGGAGGAACGTGGAGCCCTACAGTTCAAAGATATCCAAGCTGGAGCATCGCCTGCCGTTGTACATGGACTCAAGTCCGAGACATGCCCTCAATGTGGATACTCTACGCACACAAGCGGAACATGTCCTGCCAAAGGTACGAAGTGTAAAAACTGTGGTCGGAGGGGACATTTCGCTCGAGTGTGTCGCGCGAAGAACAACTTACCGAAAAATAGAGCATCACCAAGGAAGAATGTTCGCAATGTTGAACGATGCAAATCTCCAAGTTCCAGCTCCGAAGAAGAAAAGTTGGTTTGTGGTCTATCCAACAGTGTTGGTGATGAACAGTTCTGGAGAGCTGAAGTCAGAGTTGCAGGAAAGGCAGTTGACTGCAGGGTGGACACAGGAGCAAACTGTTCTGTTATGTCTGCAACGCAACTGCGACGAGTCACGAACCAGAAACCGCAAGCAGTCACTACGAAAATAGGTTCGTTCTTTGGCCATGTCAGCAAAGCGGAAGGCCGCATTATGCTGCCAGTCGCCCATGGCAACCAGGGTACCGACGTACAGTTCTACATCGTGAAACGGGAAGTACCCACAACGATAAGCGCTACCCCGTTGCGGAACGACTGAACCTGATCAAGCGAGTGGCGTCAGCGGAAAAGCACTGCAACCAGACAGTAAAAGAACACGAGGACGTCTTCCATGGACTTGGTGAAATCAAGGGTGTCAAGTATCACATGAAGCTCAAGCCAGATGCTCAGGGTGTTACGCAACAGCCACGTACAGTCCCAGTAGCCATCCGAGACCAGCTGAAAAGCCACCTGGATGACCTCGTGCTACAGAAGGTGATTGCACAAGTGACAGAACCAACAGAGTGGGTCCACCCAATCGTGGTTGTGAAAAAGAAGGACAAACTCCGACTGTGCATAGATCCACAAGAGCTCAACAAGGTTCTCATGCGAGAGAACTACTGCATGCCTACACTGGAGGACATAGCAGCACGACTGGAGGAAGCCAAGTTCTTCTCGACGCTCGACGCAGCCACGGGGCTTTGGCAGATCAAGCTAGACACACCGAGTTTGTACCTCTGCACATTTGCAACACCGTTCGGGAGATACAGATTTCTCCGAATGCCTTTTGGCATATCGTCAGCTCCCGAGGTGTTCCAGAAGACTATGCACGTGGTGTTTGAAGGCCTCGACGGAGTTGAAATCATGGTCGATGACATTCTTATCTGGGGAAGGACGGAAGAGGAGCATGACCGTCGACTGCAAGCCGTGCTGCAGAGGTGTTGTGAGGTCAACCTTAGACTGAACAAAGAGAAATGCAAGTTCTCTCAAAGCCAGGTCAAGTACTTGGGACATATCTTGTCACCTGAGGGACTCTTGATTGACCCGACGAGGGTACAAGACATCCTTGCGCTCCCAAGACCATCAAATGTGGGGGAACTGAAGAGCTTCCTAGGAGTCGTGAACTACCCTGGCAAGTTCATCCCGCACATGTCCGACACAAGTGCACCGTTAAGGCAACTCTTGAAGAAAGAGGCGGCCTGGTCCTGGACAGAGGAGCACGATAAAAGCTTCACAGCACTTCGAACAGCGTTGACTGTTGCACCAACTCTGCGGTTCTACGACAAGAACAAACCAGTAACTCTGTCAGTGGATGCAAGTTCCACAGGAACGGGTGCAGTGTTGCTTCAGGAGGGTCAGCCAGTAGCCTACTCATCGAGGTCCTTAAATGACGCCCAAAAGAACTATGCCCAGATCGAGAAGGAGCTGTTGGCGATTGTCCATGGATGCAGCCGATTTCACGACTACATTTTCGGGCAAACCGTTACCGTGGAGTCGGACCACAAGCCACAAGAGGCGATCTTCAGAAAACCTTTGAATCAATGTCCTCTCAGATTACAAAGGATGAGACTGACCCTACAAAAATATGACCTGCTGGTGAAGTACACTCCCGGTAAAGAGCTGTACATTGCAGACACGCTGTCAAGAAACCCTTCGAAGGAGGAAGAGTCGGAAGTCTTCGAGGTGAATGTCTTGGAGTGTCTCCCTTTAAGAGATGAAACACTGGAAGAATGTCGTCAAGCAATCAGCAGGGACAAGGATCTGAGTACCATGCTGCAGTATGCAAAGAGCCAGTGGCCGAGCAACAAAGAAGACATTCCAGGCCCGTTAAAGACATAATGGCCGTACAGGGATGAAATCCATGAGGAGGAGGGCTTACTCTTCAGGTCGAATAGACTCGTCATTCCAGAAGAGATGAAGAGCGCCATCTTGGCAAGGCTTCACAAAGCGCACAGCGGAGTAGAGAAGACGCTCCATCGTGCTAAAGAAGCTCTCTACTGGCCTGCAATGCAGAATGACATCAAGCAGGTGGTAGAAAATTGCAGTGTGTGCAAGGAACACAAGCCGAGGCAATAGAAGGAGCCACTTGTGAACCATCCAGTGCCAACCGCACCCTGGCAGATTGTTGGAGTGGACTTGTTTCAGCAGTCGGGACACCACTACATTGTGTTGGAGGACTATTACTCTTTTTCTATGAAGTGCACCAGCTTCAAAGGTCCACTGCCAAGACGATAATCAAATGTTGCCTGGCAACGTTTAGCGTGTATGGTCTACCTGTCAGGTTGGTTACTGACAATGGACCACCATTCAACAGCGCTGACTTCAAAGAGTTCTTGCAGCACCGAGGAATTTCACATGTGACATCCAGCCCGTATTTTCCTCAGTCAAACGGGATGGCAGAGAGAGCAGTGCAGGAGTCGAAAAAACTCATGACCAAGTGCAGTTACGGAACGCCAGACTACTACGACGCCCTACTCGAATGGCGAAACACTCCCAGGGATGGAGTTCTACGATCACCAGTTGAAAGGCTCATGAACAGACATACCAGGACGGAAATCCCTACACATCCATCTCTACTGCAAGGGACGAGCACAAACCCAAGCAAGGTACAACAGCGGCTGAGAGACAAACAACAAACTCACCAACGGTACTACAACAAAGGCGCCAAACCTCTACCTGAATTACACGCGGGAGAAGACGTCTACCTTCAAGATCAAGAACGAGGAACCTGGAAACCGGCTGTCATTGCTCAAGACGACGAGGGCATACAGCGCAGAAGGAACAGCATCGCTCTTCGCAGGAGCCAGAGAGCGAAACAAAAACCAGCCCGCTACCGCGACACAAATTTTATTTATGAGTGAAAAAGGGAGATGTAGACAAGTTCTTCTCTTCTACACGGGAGGGAGCCACCTCACCGAGAGAGAGCACGAGTGTCGCGCAAGCGGCTTGGGACCGTTGACCAATGAGAGGCACACACACGGCAAGCACTGTTACCTGCCATGTCTAGGCAAGCTCGTCGAACTCGAACTCAGTTCTCGGTCTTCTCAGTTGTATTAACTAGTCGTTAATAAACGCTTTCATAACAGTATTGGCAGTCTATTTTAAGGTTGCCCATTGCAGCAAGCAGCTACACTTTTTTGTCTTAAATGTGTGGCATGCTGCAGCGTGCAACGGAAGTGTATAGTGAATACCTGTATAAATAAAACAAAACTGACAGGCATTTGTTTTCTTGGGACACAAGTGTGGGCATTGTTTGAGCTGAAGTACCTAATGAATCTGTGGTACCTTGAAGAGGTTATGAAAAACTTGAGCAACTATAAAAAGCACATGAGCAAGCTTACAAATGTTAAACACAGAGTACATTCTAAACATAATTTATTACCTCTGAACCAGACTTAGTGCATGTTGAAAAAATTATCCGGTTCCCACATTAAGGAACAGCCAAACCTCACCCACAACAATACAGAAAACAAATAACCAACCCAGTGAAATCATATAGGTAAAAAAAATAGCAAGATTTTTATTACTTGTACCATGGTGACTCGAACTAAGAGGAGTCTTCTTTCCTTTTGTTATGGCCTAGAACGTTTCTTTAAAATGTAAATGCCTTAATTTGTAAATATTTGATTTCTTGACTGCAGAGTGCAGTGCAGAAGAGTGCAAGCAGGCATGGCAGGCCATACAAACCAGGTATGGTCGAGAGTCCAGGAATTGCACAAGCCTAAGCGGAGCTGGCCGGGACAAGATTCGGCAGTCAAGCTGGACACTGTGGAGCTTTCTCAGCTTCCTCAGGCACCAGATTCATCCCAGAAGGTACTATGCATATTAAATTATTAGACTACACATAAATTATAATTATTTTTTTGTGTAACATGCTCATACTTCCTATCAGCTCAAAAAATTTACGAATGGCAACAGCAAAAATATCTAGTGGTGGCTCCAGGACCACAGAGACAACCGGGGGATCATCAGCAGCGACACGCAGAGGCAAGTTTCCTTTCAGGCAACATTCTGCTCTTTGTACGCCCTACGCCAGACCTCTAGTGCTAATTAGTCCCGCCGAAATCGGAAGACGCGCGGAGGAGTGCGAGAGAGTAGGCCAGCGTGGTGGCGTACTCTCCCCGACACAATGCGGAACAACCAGGCTCAAAGTCAGACGACTGCCCGGAACGTCCGCGGCTTACGCCTTCTCAAGGGAAGCCAGTGGCTCCCGCAATCCCCCATTTCTCCCCAGCTTGTTGCGATGTGCATGTTTCTGTCGGCAAAGGTACGTGGAGAGATCATTGCATACGACTGTGAACATCCTCTCATGAACGTCACCACCATCTCGCCCGAAGGCATCGTCAGTTGTCCCACATTCTCTCCTAGGCTGAAAAACGAGAACCGCACTATCCAGCTCGTGCAAATGAGAAAGTGCAAAACAGTGGCGTACAACCAGTGTCTAGTAGCAGTGTTGCAGACGATCAGTTATTGTGGTGTGGACTCTCACTCTAGTATCGTAGCTAACGGTGTATCAACCTACGTCGCATGTTTCTGAAGAGAGTTGTAATGCACACTGAACAACAGGAATGTATCAGTTTAAGACAGGGCCAGTGAACCGTAAGCACAGAGCAAATTCGACTGCAACATCTGGGGTCACTCTACTCAGTGCAGTTGATGCGACAGGAACCTGTGCTGGGGGTTCGTATTCCTACAGAGAGCTCCAGTACCATAGCGTGTTTGTGCAGGCACAACTGACAATCACTCATCGAAATGGGAAGGCAACCGTGGATCGGACGAGAGGGGAAGTGAGGTTCCCAACGGGATACCGCTGCGCACTACACAGAGGCCAGTGTGTGGACCCTGAAGACGGACACACGTTCTGGGCAAGGAACCCGGTTGTCAGCGAGTGCTATGGGTCACAGCTTGACGTGCTCTTTGAGGGACTGGTCGAGTTCCTCATACCGGACCACAACGCAGAGAGACCTTCAGCGCTAACTGTTGTAGTAGTACAGGAACAGAGCATGTCATTCTATGTCATTAGTGAAACCCTTAGAGGTCTGTTGACAGCGCGGATATGTTGCAGATCATGTTAAATTGTTCATCATCGAGAAGACCCGCGGAATCGGTTTTACGCTCAAGAAAACTGGCCTCCAAACCGAAAATGTAGATCTCATGTCGTACATCAACGCTAAATTTGTATATGTAGAAAGGCACATTCAGGAACAAATGAAGCTGATGTACAAACACATAATTTGATAGCATTATAACACAGAGACCAAGGTGTTAAGAAACTTACTAGTACTAGAAAGCATATCGGGACCCAGAGTTTGCTTACGCATACAAAAAAGGACACAGATACACGGCGGTCACCACGGGCGTGGTGGTGCACCTACTTCAGTGTCCACCGGTAGAGGTTGTTCTAAGGAAAACAAACCGACGCTACCACAAGCTCGCTGTCAAATATAACAAGTCAATGTATGCAAGTCTGAAAAACCGAATAATGACACACTTTGGTAAAGAAGTGACTGTAATCCCCTTACACCAACGTTGTACAGCCTTGCTGGCAGATGGTATGCCCTAAACCCTGCCCCATTAATGCATCAAGCCCCACGCTGGGCCTCATTTTGTGGGGAGAGGGGATCACATACCTTTACGTCTGGGGACCGTTGCTCATAGGGGAATCCGATGCCCGTCCAACCACAGGGCCGACGGCTACCAGCGAGGGTGGTCGCCCTGCTGGGTTTGCGTACGCCATGCCAACGATGATCCCAGTATCCACAAGCGTTTATTGAGAACCGCAGCGACAAGAAGCTGCTGTCAAGCGAGCCGTGGACACAGAGTGGCTGCAGCGCCAGCCTACCTGAGAGCCAAAGGGGTAATGAAGTCCGTTCTCCTCGTGTTTCCTGCGGTGGACAGCATGTGCTCGGCATACTTGAGTACAGCCAACGGTATGTTTCCATTTGCTCACTGCAAAAGTTGGATCGAGTGGCTGGAGTGTCTGCTGCAGCGACTGTGAACAACGAAGGTGATGGCATTGTGTATTGCAACCCAATCTGGGAATATTTCTTAAAAATCCAACCGGTGAATAATGCACGATGCATGAAGCACAAGGCAATCCTCAAAACTCCAACGGGCACAACGACCACCTTAGCATCTCATCTAAAGAATAACCCGGACGCACATAAGACCTACATGAGAGAGCGTCTAGCAAGCGGAACTACCATCAAGCTCAAGTGCGGGAGTATGCCGAGTCAGCTGTCGGTAGCCGACACCTTCAAGCCAAAAATGAAACCAAAGGCACCAAGAGCAAAGCACATGACGAAGATGATTGGTAACTTCACCGGTCGCGGAATGCACCCATACACTGTCGTTGAAGAGGGAGGATTCATCGACATGGTGGCATTTGCAATGCCAGACTACAGCGTGCCGTCGCGGATGACTTTCTCACGAGCAGTTATACCGGACCTCTACGAGTCAGAAAAAGGGAAGCGAAGAGAGCTGCAGGAAAATTTCCGCAGAGGTGCGGAGTGTTATTCCATTGCAACGGATGGCTGGATATCGCGCGCCAAAGACAGATATGTCTGTGTGACTGTTTACGTGATGGACTAAAACTTCTTACAGCATGTGTGCGCTTTGGCATGTACGGAAATTATCAATTTTCACACGGCCAATAGCCTGGTACCGTTGATTGGGAGCGTCATCGAGGAGTGGGAGCTTCCAGCATCAGGTGCCTCGCCGGTGCTACTATATTTTTGACACAAGTGAATCCGAACCACAGCAAAACTCCCCTTTGCCCAGGGTACCGTCCTAGGTCATACTGTTCTGCTGTAGCCGAGGATCCATTGTAATCATGGATGGTATTACTTGTACAAGAACCACGATGGCCAATGCTAGGTTGTGGTGCTTACCCTGTCTCCCCCTTTTTGGATGTCATCTTTTCGTGCACCGTGTATTTTTAGCTTTTAACAGATACCTCTAAAGCAGTCTTGGGTACTATCGCAATACTTGTATCATCACAATATTTTAGCTTGTCCTTTTTTTGTAACTTTCAACTGTAAAGTCGTACATTTCTTTTAAGTACCGTATTTTCCGGTCTACAAGTCGCACTGTTGTATACACCAACTCATGTTTACAAACAAACCGAAACGCCCCAAGCGGACGCCACCGGCGCCGCGCATGCGCGATGGGGGTGTGGTCAAGAAGCTCGCCGTCGCCCATAAACAAACCATTGGAATGCGACGTAGTCGGCGTCTGTGCGAGTCCCCCTGCTCTTTTTCGCGTTCGAATTGTTGATTCTACGTCTTCCTGGCAATGTCCGACTACTTGAGCGGCGTCAGCGAAATTACCGAGGCTCGTTACACCGCAAAACTTCGCGTGAATAATGTGACATGTGGCGATTGATTCTGCGTGGACGCCGCAGTATGTACGCTACAGCCTGATTCGTATGATGAGATTTCGTTCGCAATTTTCAGTCGCGACGCCGCTTAGGCCGCAAAAGCGTGAACCGTAGCTTAGATGGTCGACGTTGATACTGAAAATCGCAAGCTGAATCGGACCAAGTGAAGTAGGCATAACAACTTGGTGATGGTCACTGGTAACAATAATCAACATCTCCTTGTATCTACTGTTTACATCGAGCCTGCTTACCAACCTTCAAACTTTAGTCTTCCGAGGCCTGAGCTTACTTCTTACCGCAAGTACTGCACCAACATTTGGTCTACGGGCCGGCGTCGTCTAAGAGAGCAGACGACAAGCAGAAACGTTTGAAAGAGAAGACGACAGTTCGAACGATCCGGCCGCCGTTTGAAATTGAAGACGCACTGAACGTAGCCTGCACGTGGTTCGCACAACTCTACAGTTTTCTGGCGTTCATGTTGGAACAAAACAAATAAATCTCATGACCACAAGTATCCGTGAATTCAATCCAAAGTGCTTCCTGCCCAAGCAATCGTAGTCCGACGACGTCTGCTTTTCCCTTTTCACGGCACATATCCAGATTCTCGGACGAACCGAGCACATGAAAACTGACCTTCAAACCTTTCTCGACACTTTTGGTACGGCCCCAGTCGCGGCGTTTTGACAAGAAGGCAGGTTTTTGTCTGGTTCCTTTCAAAACAACGCAGGAATACACGTCTGGCATGGGGACTTCTGCCCACAGCCCCAGACCGGAAGTGCGACCGACACGCCACCACCGCGCTGTGACGTCACAGAGATGAGTTTGTGTATAAGTCGCACTTCCGTATATCGAGCCATTTTTACAAAAAAGTTTATATATCAGTCGCACCTTTGTATAAGTCGCACCTCTTTGCATGGTTTACGCTTTTCTTTTTACGCTGATCGGTACCGCGAGACCGGAATTTCTCATTGGTAATCAGCTGGTTCATACGTACTGTACCGTTTGACGCCTGATGATGTTTAGATTAGCGAGAAATGCCTAGAGCACGGCACTCTCTGGCAGGGGCAGTCAGGATATTCGGAACTGAAGGACGCAAAATGAGCTGGCCAGCTTTACTCAAGCGTACGCATGCTGAGCAAACGAAAGTTTAACGTGCCAGAAACCTGTCAACAGTGGCTAGGCTTAGTGGGCGGCCCACTAAGCCTAGCCAGGGAGACAATACGAACGTATTACCTTGAAGTGTTATTGGAGTGAGGCAAGATATGGAACCATGACTGAATTAGGCTACGTCAACAAAACTTTTATTATCACTGCCACACTGTCCAGTCAATAAAGCCATTGAATTCCTTGCTTTCCGAGTCACTTTGGAAGAGTGCGGCGATCACTGGATCTAACGCGATGGGCTCTTCGTCGTCGTCAGGCCCGCTGCTGTAGTCGCTTTCAGCGGCACCTCTCAGGTACAGATTCAATGAGACCGGCTTTTCTGAAACCGGTGGCTATAGTCCCTATGGAGACGGAGTTCCAGGCTTCACTGACCCACTCGGCCACCTCGCCCAATGACGCGTGCCTCATGCACCCAGTTTTCGTGAAACTTTGGTCACCTGCTTGTCATCCAGGTTTCCCACAAACGCCGCAGGACAGCTTTGAAGCTGCAGTTCACGGAAATGTTTAGTGGCTGCAGCATCTTCGTCATGCCGCCAGGAATTATGACCGGGATGCAGTTCTTCGCTTTGATGTTGGTCTTGACCAAATCGGTCATGTGCGCCCTCATGCTGTCCATAACTAGAAGGCCCTCATTCGTGTGAAAGAATCCGTCCGGTCGCCGTGGGGAGCATTTCTCCAGCCAGAGCCCCATCATCTGTCCATCCAGCCTTTCACGTTGCATTGGATGACGACTCCGGGCGGAAAACTGTCTTTAGGCATAGTCTTTTTCTTAAAAATAATCATGGGCGGCAATTTGGTGCCATCAGCGCAGAAGCCAACACGACGGTAAAATCCGATTTCTCGCGGCCGATTGTTCTTACACTGACAGTCTTTTCGCTCTTCTTGGCCACGGTCCTGCCCATCAGGATATCAAAAGTCAGAGGGACTTCGTCCATGTTGACAATTTGGTTAGGCCTAACATCATGGGTTTGAATTTGTTCCCTGACGAATGCCTGGAAACTCGCCGTCTTTTCCTTGAAATCATCTGGAGGTTTCTGGCAGACTGTTGTGCGGGCTCTGATAGCTAGCTGGTGCCGTCTCATGAAGCGGAAGCACCAAGACGGCCCTCCGACAAAGTCAACCACGTTCATATCTTTTGGCAATGTTTGTGCCTTCAGCCGTAGCAGTGTATGACCACGTGGAAAAGAATTTATCTCAAACACTTATCTGTGCCATGGTATTGTAATTTATCCTGAGGGTGCAGCCAAATTTTGGATTGCTTTTGCAACAATATTGGGGAAAATATTTATTTATTGAAAGATTGACAGACGAAGACTAATATTTGTCGGGACCCAGATTATGTTTCTTCACGTCTTCCCGGTGTTTTGATAGTTGTTTCAAACAAAAATGAGAAGGAAGGAAGGCAAGATAATCATTGCGTCGACTTTATTGCTCTTTTTGTTCATTCAGTTTTGTTCAGCCCACGAGAAAGTTTTGCCTCGGTTGTATGGAAAAGGCTGAACTCCATTTGTGTCCGCAGAGAAACATCGCCATTTTTAACTGTAACTTTTGATTGAGCCAAGCATTTTTTCCAAAATTTCACAAAACAAAATGATAAATTACAGTACCCTAGCCGCCCAAAACAATTTTTATTATTCTTGTTCTATAGATTTGTTATAATTGACCCACAAAGTATACATAGCATCTCACAAATAGCAGATGTTAGATCCGTATTAAATGTCTGTACTTGAATCACTGCTAAGCTGACGGGGCAGTGAAAGCTACGTACTCTGTCTCTAGATCAGTCAGTTACCTGCCGCTCAGTGCCTGATGCATTCTATGCCCGTACCTACCCGGAGAGTATGACCACGTTGTATGCGTGCAACCTTTCATTCATTGTTCCTACGAGCATGTAGCTTCTACCGCCCTGTCAGCCTAGCAGTGAACGTACTACTCATTTGCTTGAGAGCTTGACCATTCATTTTTAAGGTTGGGACTCAATTTGTTGTGCAGGTGCTTTGGACGTGCATTTTGAGCATGCTGTTTGTTGCCCACGAAGCCTTACTATTGCCTATAGAATTTTTGTCATCTCTTTCACATTTCGGCACGAGTATATCATGTCCGTATATCATATTCCTCTCAAGACGACATCTGAAAGGCAAAGTGGAAGTACCTGAGGGATAACTATGCCAAGGAGGTGGCCAAGGTGGCAGGAACAGAGCCCAGTATCTGTGGAACCTCAGACGTCTACAAGTTAAAGGGGATCTGCTTTGGCAGCTTGAGCTTCCTGACTGGCACCTCCACTGTTCCGCAAAGTTATACTTTTCATATTTCCCATTGGTTACCGTATATCGCATCGTCATGCAGTTTACTTAGTATGCAGCTACAAGGTTTTTTCTGTCAATTACGCAAGTCAGAGGCTGCAGGAACGTAAGCAAAGCCAGTCCAGCACTCAAATTGGAGGTAAGATAGCATAGAATGTATTTTAACGTCTCCTCATCAGTATGTTAGTGTGTTTATAGTCACGTTTCCATGTGCCAATCACAAGTGATCATGTGCGATGAAACTCTTCTAATGAATTCTATGAGTGCCTCCATCATGCAGCCAGGCATCTGGATATACCACAGGTGCAACCAAGCCAACTGATGACCAAGATCCTCTGGTGACTATTTGCCCGTCTTTACTTTCTTTTTGGTCTTTCAGAATGAGCATAGACTGTAACTTACAAAAGCTATTTGTTTTCGTTTTTTGCGTGTGTTCCTCTATGCAGTGCTTCCACCTAGTGGCACTTCCTTTGACTTTACAGCTGCTTCATTTCATAATGCCGACAGCACCACCCTGCCCCCCCCCTCTCCCCTCCCCCCTTGATGCATTTTTAATGACCCTTATCTCTTCAATACTGAGCACACTGCCTAACCACCTAGATGAGGGGTCATCTAGTGGCACAGTGTAAACCCTCTGCCCAAGTGCAGTCGCTGGGCCGAACAGAAGATTTTTTTTGGTCTGTGTATTTTGTACAAGGAAAGCCATCGTAGCTTTCCGATTTTAATTTGGTTTGACATTAGTGGTTGATATTTCACTTCAAACTTGAACCTGGTATCCTCGCGGATGAAAAAGCTTTAAAGCTTTATCTCAACTATTCCGACAGCGCAGTATACTTCATTTCAGCATAACCTTGAAAAAGGTTAGAGCTGCATCCCTCACAAGGCAGTCGGAGCAACTGAGTGAGGTATGTGACAGCCCTTTGCAAGAGGATTGCAACCTCGAACAGTATACTTTTGCATGTCTCGCTCCTACAGTCATTAGCTGGCCAGGCCATTCATTTAACTGTTTTGCAAAGTTATGTTGAAACGGATTGTACCGAGTCAAATCACTCAATTTTCTTGTTGCAAAGACACCGCTAACAAAAACTCTTTAAACTCACAGTATTATGTGATTTGAGGAAGGAGGACTCGAACATCTGTATTTTTCAGAAATAAGATCAGACAGACTTCTGGCAAGTTCAAGATTTTTATTCAGCGGAGCTTGCTCATCTTTAAGTAGATTATGAGATGGAGGACTCGTTCGCAGTGTTTTTTCATGAGGAGTAAGAGGACTCATTCAGTTAATTTTAGGGGTGTGCGAATACCGAATAGTAGTTTTCGAATCGAATACCGAATCGAATCAAGAAAAAAAAGCCGAATATCGAATCGAATATCGAATAGTGATTTTATTTGTAGGAATTTTTCAAAGTGTGCTGCGAATGAGATTATTATATGGGCAGAGTATGCACCTGTTGCAGAATATGCATCTTGTGCAGAACAAAAGCTAAAATGTAAAAAAAATTCTGGTGAAAAAAAAAAAATAAATAAAAGTAGTTGCTGTTGGATGTTTGGCACTAAAGATCCAATTTTATGGCACAAATATAATCTATCTTCCCTAAACGTCACACAAAAACCAAAGTTACAGCCACGCATGTCTTTTTTAAGCCGAACCTAACACCGCGACTTTTTTTTAGAAATGTTTGCATATCTCAGAAAAGGGGTATTTTGCGATATTTGGTTTTCATTATAAGGAAGAAAAAGGGCACCCGGGATTTTATTTCACGTAAATAAACAGATAGGTGTTAAATCTTAGTAAACAGGCTTAAACAATATAATCTGAAGTAAGAAAAAAAAAAGCGTGGTTAGGTGGCGCAAGACACCGCTCAACTGCCGCTATGCATCTATTTTTCCGTCTATCTATCCTGTTTTAGAGAGCCTTGATTTAAAAGAGGGAGCAAGCGAAACTGAAACCACGGAGATGGCTCCAGTGCAGATTGGTCGTAAGTGCGCATGTGTTGTGTTGTCGCGAGGAAAAGGGCGAGCAAACAGAAGGGTGACGACGCCTGCTCTCCCTGCCCTGCCTGCCCGATCCCGATCGACGCTTTCGTTTTTTCGTCACCTTCTCGCAGTTCGTAATTCAAACGCGGCTATCGAACGGTTCGAAACCCTCTCAAATCTAGGCACACTATTTTCCCGTTCCGTTCCGTTCCGAATCAGAATTTGCGGCTTGAGGTTCCAAAAGAACGACGACGATAACTCGGCTGGTTTTATCGGCGTGTTTAACGTGGCTTTCTCTCTGTGATCGTGCAGTCGCCGATTTCTGTGAGCGCGGCAGGTGTGTTTTACATCGGTGTTTCAATTTGAAACGAAGGGCTTAACTCGTGCAAAGAATTAGGCATGGCAACAATTCCTCTCTGGAAGCGGCGCAAACGGGATGTTTCGGTTGTGATTCAAGGGTAGATTGCTTTACGATTATGAGTAAATCTGCATGCTATAAAGATTGTGGCGTTCGTTACTTTTCTTTTTTCTAACCTGTGTGTTAGATTTTTGTGGAATAGTAGGACCAAGAGCTGTTTTTCACATGGTTTGTCTAACATCACGGCGCTTACATCGGGGGGGGAAAACGGCTTTTTTTGTCAGCTTCGCGGCGATTGCGCGTCTTTGCCCGAATATATTGAATATTCGAGTGACCGAATACTAGGAATTCGATTCGCGAATCGAATTATTCTGGAACTTTCTATTCGATTCGAATTCGTATATTCGAGTATTCGCACACCCCTAGTTAATTTTTACATTGGCTTCCCATGTTGGCGCTTTCGAACCTAAAGAGTACACTGATGCTCGCAGTGTAAACGGATGTTTTTGAGGATAAAGCAGACATATTCACATATGCTTTTGCAAATGACGGATCAAAGAGCTCTACACCTCTGCGTGGCTTTTAATTAGTACATTCAACTTTCCTGTTTGCATCTTGGCAAAAAAAATTGACAACTAATATGTGTATTGAGAAGGTGCTCAAGTGTTATGTAGGCTAGATTTTAGAAATCAGTGCAGTGCTAAACAATTTAAGCCTAAATAACCTTTTCTTCACAATTGCGGATAATTTTAAGTGTGCACCAGCATATCCCAAAGACACACACACACACTTGTTCCCCATCTGGCCCGACCCCACATTAACTTCGCGTCTCCTCGGCCAGCTGCTTCAAAGGGTTGCTGATCTAGAGTGCTTGGCTTTTATTGACAGTGGCAAATTTGTTTCCAGGACCCACCTTCGCCCTTCCAGGACTCAGCTGTTTCCTTGGCTGCACAGCGTGGACTAGAGACAGAGAGTACACATTCACCAAGCCCAACCCCTGCAGATATGAAGGAAGTGACCGAGTTGCCTGCTGCGCCTCAACCTGCTGGTGTTCAGCCAGTAAAGCGAAAGACGTCCATGGATAGTGGAAACACACCGATAGAGCAGGTCCTGAGAGCAGCCGCTGCTAACCCGGGGTTCTCAGACTGCCCTCCAGAGCACACGGACAAGATAGCAGAGTCCCCGGCACAGAACCGTTCGTTCATGCAGCGAATGGTTGTTGACAGGCGCCGGCATTTCATCCGTCAGATAAGGGGCCTAGCACATGATGAGCTAGTAGTTGGCTGCACAGCATGGATCAGAGAGTACACATCCACCAAGCCAACCCCTGCAGATGTGAAGGAAGTGACCCAGCCCCCTGCTGCTCCCCGACATGTGCCTCGGCCTGCTGGTGTTCGGCCAGTAAAGTGAAAGAGGTCCATGGATGGTGGAAACACACCAGTGGAGCAGGTCCTGAGAGCAGCCGCTGCTAACCCGAGGTTCTCAGACTGCCCTCCAGAGCACACGGACAAGATAGCAGAGTCCCTGGCACACAACCGTTCATTCATGCAGCGAATGGTTGTTGACAGGCGCCGGCATTTCATCCGTCAGATAAGGGGCCTAGCACATGATGAGCTAGTAGTTGGCTGCACAGCATGGATCAGAGAGCACACATCCACCAAGCCCAACCCCTGCAGATGTGAAGGAAGTGACCCAACCCCCTGCTGCTCCCAGACATGTGCCTCGGCCTGCTGGTATTCGGCCAGTAAAGTGAAAGATGTCCATGGATGCTGGAAACACACCAGTGGAGCAGGTCCTGAGAGCAGCCACTGCTAACCCGGGGTTCTCAGACTGCCCTCCAGAGCACACGGACATGATAGCAGAGTCCCTGGCACACAACCGTTCGTTCATGCAGCGAATGGTTGTTGACAGGCGCCGGCATTTCATCCGTCAGATAAGGGGCCTAGCACATGATGAGCTAGTAGTTGGCTGCACAGCATGGATCAGAAAGTACACATCCACCAAGCCCAACCCCTGCAGATGTGAAGGAAGTGACCCAACCCCCTGCTGCCCCCCACATGTGCCTCGGCCTGCTGGTGTTCGGCCAGTAAAGTGAAAGAGGTCCATGGATGGTGGAAACACACCAGTGGAGCAGGTCCTGAGAGCAGCCGCTGCTAACCCGAGGTTCTCAGACTGCCCTCCAGAGCACACGGACTAGATACCAGAGTCCCTGGCACACAACCGTTCGTTCATGCAGCGAATGGTTGTTGACAGGCGCCGGCATTTCATCCGTCAGATAAGGGGCCTAGCACATGATAAGCTAGTAGTTGGCTGCACAGCATGGATCAGAGAGTACACATTCACCAAGCCCAACCCCTGCAGATGTGAAGGAAGTGACCGAGCCCCCTGCTGCTCCCCGACATGTGCCTCAGCCTGCTGGTGTTCGGCCAGTAAAGTGAAAGAGGTCCATGGATGGTGGAAACACACCAGTGGAGCAGGTCCTGAGACCAGCCGCTGCTAACCCGAGGTTCTCAGACTGCCCTCCAGAGCACACGGACAAGATAGCAGAGTCCCTGGCACACAACCGTTCGTTCATGCAGCGAATGGTTGTTGACAGGCGCCGGCATTTCATCCGTCAGATAAGGGGCCTAGCACATGATGAGCTAGTAGTTGGCTGCACAGCATGGATCAGAGAGTACACATCCACCAAGCCCAACCCCTGCAGATGTGAAGGAAGTGACCCAGCCCCCTGCTGCTCCCCGACATGTGCCTCGGCCTGCTGGTGTTCGGCCAGTAAAGTGAAAGAGGTCCATGGATGGTGGAAACACACCAGTGGAGCAGGTCCTGAGAGCAGCCGCTGCTAACCCGAGGTTTTCAGACTGCCCTCCAGAGCACACGGACAAGATAGCAGAGTCCCTGGCACACAACCGTTCGTTCATGCAGCGAATGGTTGTTGACAGGCGCCGGCCTTTCATCCGTCAGATAAGGGACCTAGCACATGATGAGCTAGTAGTTGGCTGCACAGCATGGATCAGAGAGTACACATCCACCAAGCCCAACCCCTGCAGATGTGAAGGAAGTGACCGAGCCCCCTGCTGCTCCCCGACATGTGCCTCGGCCTGCTGGTGTTCGGCCAGTAAAGTGAAAGAGGTCCATGGACGGTGGAAACACACCAGTGGAGCAGGTCCTGAGAGCAGCCACTGCTAACCCGAGGTTTTCAGACTGCCATCCAGAGCACACGGACAAGATAGCAGAGTCCGTGGCACAAATTTGTTTGTTCATACAGCAAATGGTTGTTCACAGGCGCCGGCCTTTCATCCGTCAGATAAGGGACCTAGCACATGATGAGCCAGTAGTTGGCTGCACAGCATGGACCAGAGAGTACACATCCACCAAGCCCAACCCCTGCAGATGAGAAGGAAGTGACCGAGCCCCCTGCTGCTCCCCGACATGTGCCTCGGCCTGCTGGTGTCCGGCCAGTAAAGTGAAAGAGGTCCATGGATGGTGGAAACACACCAGTGGAGCAGGTCCTGAGAGCAGCCACTGCTAACCCGAGGTTTTCAGACTGCCATCCAGAGCACACGGACAATTAAGATAGCAGAGTCCGTGGCACAAATTTGTTAGTTCATGCAGCAAATGGTTGTTCACAGGTGCCGGCCTTTCATCCGTCAGATAAGGGACCTAGCACATGATGAGCTAGTAGTTGGCTGCACAGCATGGACCAGAGAGTACACATCCACCAAGCCCAACCCCTGCAGATGTGAAGGAAGTGACCCAGCCCCCTGCTACGGGGGGCTAAAAAAAAACGCCACCTTCGATTTTTTAAAAATTTGGGTACCCTGTTATACTCTATTTCGGCATTCATTTCTATTAAAAACATGTCGCATCATTTACTGTGAAAGAAGAAACAACTCCCCAAAGTAGGGTCCTTTTTCAAAGCCTACACTTAGCAGTGTCCTATACAAGAAGTGACTCTGAGTTCCAGTTTCATGAAACTTGCACAAATCTTTTATATACATTTATTCAGATGATTTCATTGATAAAAAGAGTGATCGGTCACACAGTAAAAGGGAGGAGAAACTATATACAGCATTTTACATAAGCGTACAAAGTGGTATCATATTAGAGACTAATGATTTGAGAAAAGATGATGCAGTGTGAAGTTGTACCTTCCGGTATATTTTACATATAGAGTAAAATAAATAACTTTACTTCCACACACAAAAACAAAGATATAATAGTAAGATATTTAGGTTGGCTGTGTATTTACGATTACAAACAATTTCAGGTGACGGATGCCATAGTGCCTAACTGGAGCAGCTTCGATGCTCTCGGTGTATGAATGAATCGTGGCAAGCCGATATATTTTATCCTGCTCGAGGATAACATTTTGGGATTTTTTTTATGGTGATCAGATAAAAATTATTAGTAACCACCAACAAAAACAGTAGGTTAAATACCCCGTGAAGAAAAATGTGATAAATAAGATGTCCCTGCATTCAAAATGAGCAGTCCTTGGGAAATCAAATTCGGCACTTTACGCTAAGGTTTTCCTCGCTGTACCCATTTAATAAAGTTGCTTCCAAGCAGATCCGACTGTCCGTGCTACATATACGTCACAGGTCCCATCTGTTGATGACTTGCTGAGCCGCCACGCGTGCCAAGACTGAATGCCAGGGAAGGCGCGCACCGTCAGCCACTCTTCTTTTTTTTGTTCACGATACCGAACAACCTCATTTTCGTCCAGATATACAAAATGCACGCCTTTCAGTTTCTTTGATAGAACGCTCACCATTGTCCTGGCCGTCTGAATTGCGCTTACTGAACGTTCTCTCAGGTTGTTCAGCGTGGCCTGGTGCTTCACGAGTCCGCCAACTCCGTCACATGCATTTTTCCCATGTCCAGATGCAGAAAATAACCACTGGGCTTGTGGGCAATCGTCCTTTGCAAATTGGTGAAGCTGGTAGCGATTCTTGAAATGACTGGCGGCGCCGTCACTTACGTACGTCACGTACGAGTATACCGCAACGTTGTCTTCAACCCACTCCTTCACTTTTTCTAGAGCCAAGCAAGCGTGAGCGGCGTCGTGACACAGGTCCTCACTGATGATTGCAAAGCTGTTTGTAGATTTTCTTGTCGTCACTACACATGTAAATATCGAAACTTGTTTTTTTTTCCAGTGATATGCTTGCACTTCGTCAAGAAGCATGATGGTCCAGTTTTCAGCAAAGTCAAAATGAAAGACAATGCTCCCGCGTTGCATGCACTGTTTTTCATCGTAGATCGCTTTACCTTGCGTTTGCCGGATATTGTTGTGAAGTACCCAACTTCCAACCGTCACTTGGATGACTTTTAGGAAAGTCTCAGGTTCCAAAGTTTTTTTCACAAGGTCGCCGGACTCCCATGTTGCAAGCACAATCTCTTCATCCTCCGGGATATCAAGTTCCTGGAGTGTAAGAAACTGGCCTTTTGGGCAGTGATCACAGTCTCCTTGAAGGCACAGTTCTGTTGCTGGGTCGCACAGAAATGCCGAGTTCATTTCACCAGTGTTGAATGTTGAGCGTGTAACGTTCTCTAGAGCGGCAATACAAAGATAATAATTGGCGCAGCGCACACAAACGCACACTTCCTGGTGTGGAATAGATTGGACCCATCTAGGGCGCAACGAATAAAATTTCGTTAGCCCAACGCCGGAATCGGGATGCTTGTCTTTGTATATACGGAAGGCCTCTCGTATTGAGCGTGTCATGAAGCGCTTTGGCACGAACGTTTTCTCTCCGTTGAGCATGACAGAGATGACGTCCTTCTGGTTGGGACTTTGGCGCGAACATTGTAGCTCGTCTTTCGTGAAGTACTCTAGGGCAGCAGACAGGTTCTCAGGGCTCACCTTGCACCTCGTGTAAGGATCCGGCTCATACCACACGCCATGCTTTTCCTCGAGTTTTCGGGATTTACTGATGAGGTACATTGAGGCCTGTGGAATCATCTTTTGAACCTCATTCTTCGTCAGTGTTGACGGCAGGAGTGTAAGCAGTTGACAACGTTCCCGGAGAGAGGTGGCGGTTTCAAAGGCCTGCCGAAAGTTGTCCACCCACTCAGTGCATGTGGAGCATGTTGGTTCGGACGACCCCGATGGTGCGTCCCTGTCGTACGCAATACGTAGCCTTGAGCGTATATTCTTGACAGCAACCT